CACTAATATTGAATTAGCTGACATGCATTTTATGTACGGTCGTGCAAATGGCAATGCGAGGGAAGCGCTACGTCAGTACCGACAGTCCTTTCGGAGGAGATGTCGTAGCTGCATTGAAATGGAGGGAGGGCACTTTGATTGTTTATAAATATCATTGTTTTTTATAATAATAAAAAATTGTTATAAACACAAAATGGTCCGTATCTCCGAAACCGTTAATTTGCGGTCATATATTTATTAAGACTTTTCTGCTTATTTTGGGTCATACTATTCACCATTTCATTTTGTGACACTTTTTTTTTAACACCCTGTATATGCATTTTGTAATACAATAACAACAATTAATTAAGTAGTATGATTCATCAAGCTCTGGCTTCTATAAAATAACAAAATTGATTAAAAAATAGTACCTATATTATTATTTGTAAGTTGTAATATGATTTTGTAAAACTAGCAAATTTTTTTATAATTTGAGTTGGTAAAGTATAGTAGGTATGGTACCAAATCCTATAAAAGTGTGTTTTTTGCATTAATATTAGTTAGTAGTTTTATGAGAGGTTATAAAAAAAATATATTAAAAATGTTGCTGAATTATACTCATAAACCCAACTTATATGAAAATTTCAATATATAAATTTTCGAATGTAAAAAGCTCAAAAACAATTAAATTTTGACATATGGTGTTTTAGACAAAAATACTTATATTTTTTAGTAGAATAAAAATATAAAATGAAATACAGGATGATCCATCAGAAAAAAATATTTTTTAAGTTACTTTGCTTTTTGGGGACATCCTGATATTGTAAAATATTAATACAATAGGAGCCTCTGTGAACCGTCAAACTTTTGTATTTGTCATTTTCTCGTGTTTTCAAAAACAACCGAGATATTGGACTGCCACACACTAATGGGACACTCTGTATATAGTATGTAATAGAACATGTTTTGTTTTAATTAATACAACATTTGTTTGCTATCAAAAAAGAGAATCAATGTTATGTTTAATTTTTTTTTACAAACATTTCGAGCTGTCTTGTTTCATGCACTGTATTTTCAACGCTCTGTAAAACGTTTTCATGGACACTTTTTTCGAAACTAGTTAAGCTGAAAACATTAATTAAAGACTCATTAATATTATTATTAAAAATATTCCTTATTAAGTAAATTTACCAGCGTTTTCGTAAGAGGCGTCTACTTTTTCTGAACTGATTTAAGCGCAAATTTTTATTCTTAATGCCAGAACGACCCATTTCCAATTATGTTGTTTACCAATTAATATAAACACAAACTGTTTTTAACTTAAAATAAATATTGTATTTTTACACAGCTCACTATTTGCACGAAACAATTAACACATTTAAATTTGCACTATATTTTGCCAACATAAAACCACCCTGCACTTATGGAAAATTGGAATGCAGCAGAAGTTGAGCTTCTGTCGCTACCATCCAAGTACCAAGCTTGTGCCTTGTTGCCAAACTTGATAAATATAGGCAGGCTACCGGAATTTATGAACGGAGACAATTGAATTTGATAAAAGAAACGACGCTCAAAATATGCATTATTTAAAAAAAATGTACTTGGAAAAATTATTCAGTTTGTTTCATTTCAACCCGCTATTTGCTTGGTTTTTTTATTTAAAAAAAAAAACATAAAAAAATAATAGAAACTACCTTTTTAAAAAAAATTTGAAGCAAATAGCGGGTTTCTGCAAGTCATTATAAACACTTTAAAAAAAAATCGATCTAAATAAAGCAATTTTTAAGGCTACAGTTTCTGTTTTCATTTTTTTGGTGGAGGCGGCCGCTACTGTTTACTCTTAATTTCATCAATTTCAATCATTCTTAATTCTAGATTTAGAATTTAAATTTCCATTACTTCAAGGTTTGTTGGAAACCTGCATAAAAAATTCCTAATAATATTCTATAATATATTTGTACTGCATCTGTTTTTATTTACTTACCTTTGAAACGACGTGGAACTTCTACAAATGTATAGTTTACGGCAAATGAAAGATTAAATAGTAATTTTAAGGGCCAGTTTTTCAATCAAAGTTTAAACTGAGTTAGTAAATAAACTGACTTTAATTGAAAGATGATGTATTTCAAATGTAGTTCACGCCTGAACCTAATTTAAACTATCAGAAAAAATGAATTGTCAAGGTTGGGTCTTTAAACTAAGATCAATGTTTAAAATTGACATCATGTAAGTGTATTTCACAATTTTTATATATTTTATGTTGAATTGATAGGCGAGGACGATGGTGAAATTGCTGCCTATTTATGTATTCAAAAGATTTCGTTTGTCTAAGAAAATAGTTATAAAAGAAATAGAAGAAGGAATGGAAAATTCGACTTATAGATAATAAAATTTATAATTACATATATTTTATATTTTAGAAATAATGCTTTAACAACTAAATTCATGGTTTTGTTTTTGGATCGGAATTTTCTAAATTACTACCAGCTACTTCTGTAGAGCATATAAGTAGAGCAAGCAAAATTTACCAACAATTCTTCTTCTTTGCTCAATTCCAGTTCATACAGTTTTTCATCTTTAATTTTAATGAATGCTATTAAAAAACGTCAAACTGACATAGAGCATTCAGTTTTGTCAGAAGTCCCTTGATTCAAAACTACCAATATAAATGAAATTTAGATCACCAAGAATTTTAATCATGATAACCTCCATCTACAGATACCATCACGTTTTCAATACACTGACGATGACTTTTCAAATAACAAAAAAAATATATACAGTGCTTCTCAAAAGTCCTCTCCATCCTTCATTTCTTTTGAACGGTGATACTTAGACTGATGGAATTTGTAGGGTGAAAATAAACTATTGTAAACTTCTCTACTAGTGGTAATAGGTGACGTAATAGGCATAGGTGACGTCACCAGGCAACTGAAACCAATAATATTAAATGGGACCTTATTTTAACCATCAAAAACATCGTAAATCCAAAAAAAAAATAGTATGATTGAATAGGTTCTCTAAATACCTTTCAAACGAGGTGTCACTTGATATAAGGTCCCATTTAATATTATTGGTTTCAGTTGCCTGGTAACGCCACCGATGCCTATTACGTCACCTGTTACCAGTAGTAGAGAAGCTTACAATAGTTGAATCGGTGAGTCAAAGAACAGTACTAGTCCAAAAATGGCATTCTGAGTAAAGTAAAAAAAACTAAATAACTATTTTGTTATTTGACTTATAAATTTGACATGTACATATCAAATGTAAAGCTATTTAAGATGAGTGTCGGATATTATGTTTTAACTATTATAAAGGGTTTGTATATGAAATATTTAAAAAAATATATTGTGGACATGTACTGTTTTTTTAGTCAATTATATAGTTTGTATTTTATTTTTAGTAGCCTCTAGTTTAGAAATAATGCAAGGTTGCCAAATAAACTATTTTCTTATAGATAATATAGGATAACATATTTTTGTAAAACCCATGCACGTAGCTAGGGGGGTCCGGGGTGCCCCCCCTTTAAAATTTACTCAGCATTTCCTTCTTTGGCTTTATCGGTTGCAGATGTGGGTCAGGAGGTAACGTGATAGTAAAATTCCTGCAATTCTCATGTAATATATTGCATTACCTTTTTTGTCATTTATTTTTTTCACATATATTGGAATTTGTTTTTGGTGTGCGCATCATTTGGTAGGAAGGGGTGGGCAATTTTTATTTTGCTATATTAGTTTAAAGCTATGAGATACTAGACCACCTTTATATTCATAAGTTTTCACATATCCACTGTTATCACAATATACAAACTGCCTATAGTTTGACAGAGAAAACTGACATTAATGAGTGAAAAAACGGCACATGTCCTGGACTTATACTGCTCTTCCACTCATCCAGTTTCAACGTATTTTATATTGCCGAACCTATTGTGTGTATTGTACTGTTTTGATTTCAATGGATGGAGACACATGTTATTATCGATTTGGCTATCTTAAATCAAAACGTCAATTTTTGGACTAGTACTGTTCTTTGACTCACCAATTCAGTTCATTTTCACCCTCCAAATTTCATCAGTCTAAGTATCACCGTTCAAAAGAAAAGAGGGGGGAGGGGGCTTTTGAGAAGCACTGTATGTATAATAATTAAACAGAACATTATTTGACTCTTCAAAGTTATAAAATTACTTAAAGTAAATATGTTTCAAGAAAGTATATAGAGATGACTGATATATTTGTGGTAAATCTAAACGTTTATGAGAAACACTGTGGAATTTCCGGAGGAATACTGGATTTACCACTAAATTGCTGAATAATTTTCATAGAATTTCAGGAAAAGAAAATTTCATATGAAAGCTGTTAAGTGTTAAACCAGCCTGGGTACGAAGAAAAAAGACAAGCAGAAAATACAAAATACACGTTTGTGATAATAGGGATATAGCGGTTGTTGCACTTACTTTAAAGGCCAAATTATACGAGGGTAAAAGGAATTAAAATTAAAATTGCATTTTTTTTTTTATTAAATTATAAATTGCAATAGAATATGATGATTTACTAAATACCAATAAAAACATTTAAAAGAAGTGCCAGCTTTATGGAGAGTAATTTGTACTATGTCTGACAGAGGTATTAAATTAATACGTGCATACATACATGGGAGTAAAATATAGTTGAGTGTTTCTGGAGAGATTGACAAAAATTGTGCAATAGTTATAACCTTCTTAGACTATAAAGTACTTCTTTAATCTAGTTAACACTGTTTTCATTTTTTTGATAAATATTTTTGGGAGTTGGGATATTCGGTCATATAATTGGTATATTTTTTTATTATTATTTGTTCTTACTTTTTAATATACTCACCCAGTTAGGAAGTTTACAATATTTTTAAATATTTTAAATGATACTCAATTAGTGCATCTGCTAAATTTACTTCTATTTGTGATGCCAACTAAAGATAAAAACCTGATCTACTATCCAATCAGTAAAATATGTGTTATACATGGAAAATTAAATTTATTTTTATTACAGGGTAGATGTACCAACTGAAAAAAGAGTCAGACGATGGGCCCTATCTATGGAAGAACTGGTTTCAGATCCTACAGGGTTGCAAGAATTTACGAATTATCTTAGAAAGGAGTATAGTCATGAAAATATAAGATTTTGGATGGCTGTTCAAGACTTAAGAAGATCCGCCCAATCTCAGATTGCTTGGAAGGTGCAAGAAATATTTGAGTAAGTTTAAAACTGCTGCTTTGTTTTGAATTGCACATTTTATCGGTATGCTGCCCAAATACATTTAACATCATTATATCAGTTTAATTATTTAAATAGGTAATCCCAAATTACAAATAATATTACATTATTATACATTTAAAAGGTTAACAATATTAATAGGGCATTTAAAAACAAATGTAAAAGTTTAAATTGTAGATGTGGGATACATTATCTGAATCAATAATAAGTGGACTGTAATTGTTAGCGCTTCGCTGGTAGATCCTGAAATGGCGTGCAAACGAAAACGATGCACTTTACCCAACACTTTTATTTACAAGAGAACTATATACACAGACTTACATACGATGCCCAGAAAGCAGAGCTTGATAATTTATATATTATAATGCAATAGAAATGCAATATGTTATGGCTGCTACTGCAGAACAGTTGACAGTTGATAGTGAAGTTATCGTACTTCCTGTCTAGATCAAATCCAGCAGGAAACCGAGTTGTCAAAGTTACCAACTTGAAGCAAAAAAAGTAACAAATGAAACAGTAGTAGTGTAGGTTGGCTCCAACAAGCTGAGGCCTTATGGTTTCAGAACAAACCTTAACAATGTTCCAGCATACACAAAATAAATATGAATAAGTTTAACAATACGAACTTGTAATTTTTAAAAGAAAGTCTTACAATAAAAAATTTAAACAATTGAATTAAATATAAAACATGCAAAATGTTTGTATTATTTATTAAACAGTTTTTTTTACAATAGGGCTTAACAAAAATCAAGCAATTATTCTTCTATAGGTAGAATTGCTATCTTAGTAACGGATCTTAAATAGGCGTCATTTTTGGCTATAACTTCAACGACCCTTACCTTTTTGTCCTTACCAGGTATAGTTTTTATTATGCGAGCCATAGGCCACTGAAAAGAAGGAAAATTATCTTCTATTAAAGGACAAGCATCAATTCTCTTAAATTAGGTAAACTTTTGCGCCATTTAGGGTGATTTTGAAGTTGTGTTAAATAGTATTGATGCCATAAGTGGCCTAGAGTTCAAAATACCTTCCACTTGAATAAATAAAGTATTTAATTGTTCGTAAATAAGCGCTGTGGAACCTATTACTCGTTTTATGTGGAATTTCGTAATTTTTACTCTAGTTTCCCATAACCTACCGGCGAGTAGCTAGGTATAAAGTTGAATTTAATTTTTTCATTAATAGTAAAATTTTCGGTTCTGTCTTTGTTTAAGTAGAAATGTTTTAATTAGAAGGTTTTCCTTTCTGGAGATAAAGCGCTTAAAAGAATCTAAAAAAATTTTCTGTTGTCAAATCTGACAAGAGCTCCATGTGATTGGCCTTGACAGAAAAACATACAAATAATGCTATATATATTAATAATAATAATAATAATAATAATACTCTCTATAGGGGGGTGGGTTGGCTCAGTGGTTAGAGTCATGACTTTGAGATCGGAAGGTCTCAGGATCGAATCCCACCGTTGGCCGGGATTTTTTCATTTAATTTAATTATTTAAAATTAATTCTGATGCCTTGGTAGGATTTCCCACTCGACCATTCACTGTTGGGTTCTAATTAACAGTGCTGTTCCTAAAGTGGCGCTGGGAAACAGTAACAAAGCCTACACAGAACACGAGGCTAATGGCCGTAGTAGTCGACGCCGATGACACCAAATTAAAAAAAAATTCTCTCTCTAATTCACCTCCTTACGAGTGAATTTCAACCCCTGAAGTCGACTGAACGACTTGTGTAGGAGAAGGGACGGCTATTATTAATATTTGCCGTGGCGCTTCGGAGCGACTTAAAGATGATTGATGGTGCCATTTGAATTACAGGTGAGGAAAACCCGGAAAACCTCACCCACCATCATCGAACGGTAATGCACGGCGATTTTTTAATCTGCATGTCATATCAACAAAAATTGAATTTCCATTAATACGGCACACATCAAATCCTAAACTGAACCATGCAATTTAATTAAAAATCCACATGGTCTGGTCTGGGATTCGAAGCCCAGCAGTCTCAGACTCATAAACTTGCCTATAAATGAATATAAGCGCGTTAGACCGCTACGCTACCGACCCGGTGCCTTTGACGTTACAAATTTTCTTATACGGGATAGTTTTATCATAAAAGGACCACAAAAGTCTATGGCCTACATTCTGAAATATTCTTGCTGAACAAACTCATTTTTCTGGCAAGGATCCCATGGGTTTTTTTTTAGTAATGCATCAGACATGCAAGTCTATTTACTACAGAAAGTTTAAACTTAATAATTTTCATATAATATATTATATGATCTATTTTAGTATTTTGAGTAAATTTAATAGCGTCAAAAATTATGTTATCTGATTGAACTAAAAGTGAAGAAATATTGAGTGGAAGTGGGAGTGAAAGTTTATTTAAATCTTGATATAATACGGTGGTATGTTGAGCATTTTTTATTACAATCTAAAAATAAATTATTTATATCTGCTACAGCGTTTATATTGCAATATGGACAAAATGGAGAATCCAATATTCCAATTTTATATAAATGTGCAGGGAATTGGCCGTGATTGAGCTTCAAACGAGTAATTATAGATGACTAATATTTATTATAGTTCCATGAACTGATGTAAGGAATATTCTTAGAAAGATTTGGATGTATACTATAATAGTGACTTTGTGATGCCTTCGCATGCTCAGTGTATTTAATTTCATATCTATTTCTTACATCTTTTTTATAAATGCTAATAATATCTATAAAACAACAAAATTATGTAATTTGTTCTAAACTACATGCTTCTTTAGCAGCTCTATCCACATGTTCATTTCCTGCAATGCCACAATGTCCTTTAACCCCAACCAAGGAGACTTTAACGCTACACTGTTTAAGGTCAAACATAATTTTTTTAATGGATAATATTACCACGTTTTTGTTTTGACTTATGGAAGGGCCATCAATAGCCTGCAGAACTGATTGGGTGTCAGACACTATAACTATATTCTGAAATGAATTTGCTTTGCACCATTCTAAGGCTTTTAGAATCGCCACTGCTTCAGCTGTGAATATAGAACAGAAGCAGGGTAATTTAAATGATTCTATATAATTAGTGTCTGAAACAAGAAATGCACACCCAGTACCTAAACCATTTTTCGATCCATCTGTATAAATAGTAGTTAAATTATCTCTCAAATTACTGAGTACGGATTTAAAGATAGTTTTCGTAAGGCTTGCAATATCTGAGTATTTCGGAATAATAATGGTTGCTCTGAGCATTTTGCTCTAAGTTTAAAACAGATGACACACTTTTTTCCTGTTTTCATTTATGAGCCAATATCCAGTTAAGGTTTAAAGAGCTCAAAACTTGCCTTGATTCAGCATGCAAAAGTTTCATATGTTCTAGCGTAATAATGAGGTCTGTAATGTGATTTCCTTTTGGCAAAATTGCCGGATGCTTTTGATTATAGGGTATATTTGCATTCTGCAACATACCACCTACTCGCAGTACACCGTTGCCATCTAATAAAGGTGACAAGGAACTCATTGACGATTATATTGGTAAGTTTGATCTGAGGCATTTAATTTCCTCAGGAAAATTATTTTGTTCACATTTTATAATTATGGTTAGAGCATTTTCTAACTCTTAAATTTTTAAATTTCCAGTAATCTTATCACTTTTAGAAACTTTACTGCGTGCGTTGTGAACGAATCAGAGCAATATTTCTTTGCAGTTTTGTGATACTGGAAAAGGCTTTGAAACATGTCCCTAACTTAGTAATCAAAACATTAACAACAGCTTTCTCTTTAGGCAAGGGATTGGGAAAATCAGTAGGAATACTGTTGTGGCAGCTGCCTCGATCGGAGTACGTTTCCTCGATGAAAAAAGAAATGAAATACGAGAAGAGTTTGTGGGCTTCGTCGAAATAAAGCAGATGAACGCTTTGTCGATTGCCTTGGAGATAAAAAACATTTTTTTACAGCTTTAATGGTTGATCCTCATAAATGCGTCGGTCAAGGATATGACGGTTGCTCGACAATGGCCGAAAAAGACAACGGGGTGCAAAAACGCCTACGCGATTTTTTTTCCAAAAGGAGTGTATTTTCACTGTGCAAGTCACAAACTTAATCTTGTTGTTAACGATCTAAATAAGGTCCTTGAAGTACGAAACACGATTGCTACAGTCAAAGACATAATCAATTTTTTTCGGGAATCGCCGTTAAGAAGGACACACGCTCCTACAAAACCACTTTTATGTGAAACGCGATGGTCACAGAAGTACAGGAGCATACGGATGTTTAAGGAAAATTTTGTAGCCATTATAAAAGGACTTCAACTGATAGCGATTGAAGGAAATGCAACAAGCCGTAAACAAGCAGATCAGTTGCATGCTGCTTCAACGAGGAGCACTTTTATATTTTGCCTATGTCTGATTGCAAAATACTCTGGTTATCTAGAGCATGTGGTAAATTCATTATAGGCGGTTGCAATAGATTTGGTTAAATGTTCACAGCAAATCGAACATATCGTGGAACTAGTAGGTGAACATCGTGACAATGCGGAGGAGGCAGTGGAAGATATCATGAATGAGATGAAAGCAATTGCCATTGAATTGGATGTAGAAATACGTGTGCCCCGATTGGTAACAAAACAGTCATTTCGCGCCAACCCACCAGTGTCAACACCTGAACAGTACTTCAAAATATCTATTTTAATACCCTACTTAGATTCTTTTTGTAATTCTTTGAAGGAGCGTTTCAGCGGGAAGCAAGGACCGGTCTTCGAATTACAGAATCTTCACACCACCAAAGTTAGATTGTTATCTGTAGACATCTTACAATCTTCCGGAGCAGCAATAGCCGACTTTTATAATATTAGAATTGTGGCACCTGTTCTGGACATTAAAGGATGAAGAAGACACTAACCTCGACTTCGTGTCCGTTTTAGCTAAAACTGAATTTTACTCAGCAATTAAAAAGGCAATAATGATTTGCTTAGCTCTCCCGTGCACAAC